CGACGAAGTCAACGACCCCCGCATCGCCCGCGCGGTGCACCAGGGCGGCTACGCGGACGTGCTGCTGCGCCCCACCATGGTGGGCATCCTGCGCTGCGGCAAGATGCTGCCGCCGCAGCTGAACCTGGTCATCGAGATCGAGTTCGCGGACGCCGCAACTGCGCTGTGGTCCGAGAATGCCGGGGCGCACCCGTCGGGCGCTACGCTGAGCACCGACTTCGAGATCCAGAACGTCCGAGTTCTGGCCTCCCAGGTCGTCTTGGACTCGGCGCTGGTCGAGTCCTTCAACCGCGTGCTCCTCTCAGGAAGGTCGCTCGTGTTCAGCCACGGTGCGCACGCAGCAGTCCCGTGGCGGAGCGCAACGTCACCGTGGCGCGCGCCTTCACGAAACTCATGGGCGCGTTCGTGACCTTCTGGGACAGGGCTCGAAGATCCACTTGCTGGCCAACCTGGGGGGACGTGGCGCCCGTCGGCGCAGCGAGGCAGTCGCAGATGCAGCTGGGCAGCCTGCAGTACCCTCACAACCCCATGAAAGGAGCTTCGGAGCACTTCCACTTCCTCTCGGTCCTTGCGGGTACTTACGACGACACGGCCCGCAACATCGACATCGGCCGTGTGGGCTACCTGCGCCACAGCTTCATCGCCGGCTTTCCGACCGAGCGCGTGCCCAAGATGCCATTGAGTGGTGTCAGCACTCGCTCGGGCGGTACGATGACGGACCTGTTCACCCACCTGGTGGCCTACCAGCTGGTGACGCTCTCCGGCACGGGCGTCTCGGTGCTCGACTAAAAAAATGCCCAGTTTTTGCAGCGCCACAAAAATGACAAAAGCAGGGGGGTGCCACTCTTCGTTGTTTTTGACGTTTAGTGGCACCGCCAAAAAACTAGCAAAAATGACAAAAAAAGCGCTGTCGTTCTTAGCCGTTTTTGGCTAGAGACGACAGCGCCCAAAAAATGAGAAAAAAGGCCCGCTGTCGTTCTTCGTCGTTTTTGACGTTTAGTGGCACTGCCAAAAAACATGCAAAAACACGGAAAAATGGACTTGTTCAAGGCTCCTCGGTTTAGAGGAAGCTTGAACGGCCTAGTCCGGAATGCTCATCCTCTCCGCAAGCTCTGCCGTGGCCGCGCGCGCAATCTCGTCGCACAGCGCAGCAGGAACGCTGTAGAGCTCGCGTGACTCATCAGCCGAGGCCCTCGCTGCGCAGCGCGGAGGTGCCTGCCGTCCTGCCACGCGTCGCAGCGGCTGCCGGGCCTGCACAGACCTCGCCTCGGCCTCCAGCGCATGTTGGTCCACAGCCGGGTCTGCTTCCAGTACAGAGTTCCGTACTTGCAGTGGGTCACGCCCGCCCAGAACAGGCGCTCCACGAACGGCCGGGTCTTCAGCAGGCCGGTGGCCGGGTTCTCAACGACCCACATGAGGGGGTCGAAGTGCGCAACGATCTCAAGGGCGCTGAGCACCAGCGCGTCGCCCTCCAGGAGCCGTCGTGGGCGCGTCGTCAGCGCGCGGCTGTATTCCGTGCAGACCGGACTGGCCCAAACCATGTCGAAGTGCCCCGACGGAAACGTCGTGTAGAGCTCCGGCTGTCGCACAGGGTCGTGGGCTCAAATTTCGACACGATGTCCAGCGAGACGACTTCCCAGCCCACCGCCTCGAAGGCCCTGCCCACCGACTTGGTGCCGCAGAAAAGCTCCAGGAGTCTCGGCATTTTTAAAGAGCAAGATCACCGCGAGTGCGACGACCAACACTCGCACGTTCATCGGACCGGATTTTTTCTCCACGAGATAAAAAGCCGAACTTCGCAACCATGAAGCTTGCACTCGGGCTGGACGTTCAGACCAATGCCAAGAGCGGGAAATTCATGTTCATAGAGGACTCCCATCAGGGCGCGCTGGTGTGCAAGGTCGACGTGGAGGTGCTGTAAGCCCGGCAACTTCCAGGACGACGGGGCCAAGAGGGTCGGAGTGTGCTTTGCGAGCAACACCGACCTGGAGTTTTTTTTTTTCACCTTGCCGCCTTGGGCCTAGTGGCATCGGTCGGCTGACTTGAGACTTATCCGTGTACCAGGGTGGAATCGAACCCCGGCGAGCAACACCGACCTGGAGCTGTGGACGGAGGAGGTCGAGCAGGGTGTCATCGACAACATGATCATCTTCCAGAAGCCCTTTCCGGGCGCCGCCCTGCAGCGCGCAGTCAAGGTGAGCGCCAAGGGCAAGCACGTCAAGTGCAAGATTGACTTGGAGCGCTGCCTCTTCTGGGACTCGGCAGGCAACCCCGCGGAGTTCTCGCGTCGTAAGGGCCGCGCGCTTGTGGAGGCCCGGCGCGTGTGTCTGATGGGCAGGCAGTGGGGCGTGCTCTTCGAGGTGCGCCACCTCATCCCTGGAGGCGCCGTGCTGCCCGTTCGGCCAGGCCGCCTCCAGCAGCTCGGAGCTCGTCGCCCTTGAGGCGCCCACGTACAGGTGGCGCAGTGTGAGGTGGCACGACTGCAGGTCCAGGCGGACGCGGTTGTGGAAGGTGAGGCCCCTGCGTGGCTCGGCCGGGTGGCGCGCAGGAGCTCCTGGTTCTTCAGCCACATGCCGTTGTCCAGCCTCACTCCGTCCGGCTCCACTTCCGCCACGGCCACGAAGACTCCTTTGGGTATCTTCCCACCGGCCCCAATGAGGCGCAGCCCCGGCCACACCCTCATGCTCTGCGGGCTGTTTTGGGTTGTTGTAGGTTGACAACAACCATTTTGGGTTGTTGTGGGTTGACAACAACTCAAATCGATGTGGATGACTTGTGTCTCCAGCTTCAGCAGCTTTGAGGTTTGCGGCGCCAGGGCCCGGCTCGCTGCTGCGTTGATGGCCATGCGCTTGCTGTGGCTGATGACCAGCGTGGTGTCCGGCCACCCGGGCTTTGAGGGCAAACAAGAACTTCTTGTAGCTAACGCTGAGCCGGGCTGTATCACAAAAGGTTTGCATGGCAATGACCGCTGGCCGGTTACATGCAAAATCGGTCGTAAACCACCCCCAATCGTCGTAACAGGTACGCGGAAAAACATTTTGAACAATAAGGGTGGCAGATATATTCGAAAGAACGCAGTCAGAACTGATATAGGACAACCCTCCGGAACACCCGCAGTGGCACCAACAGGTTGAACACGCGAGAGGCCTAAGACAGTACCGTCCCCGCAGTGGGCCCGTTGAACAGCACACTTAATCGGCACACACGCACCTCGACCGATGCCTGGCATCGCACCATAGACCCCCGGAAAGTTAGACGAAACCCAACTACGGAGTATCTGGCGAGCTGCTGCCAATGCCCAAAGGCGCCAGAGGATAGAAGCAACGGTGATTGGGTGAGTGGACGATTTGTCTCTGACCCGGCTTCCTTTGCTAATAGTACCACGCGCAAAACCAAAAAACCAGTCTTCCAGATTGCTGCTGCCAGAATTCATGCAGTTCACAAAAGCCCTGCGATGCTAAAATTTTCCAAGCTGGTAGGGCCCCCAGGGGCAGGTATGTTTCGAGTATCCGGGTGGTTGATCTCCATGGACTCGGAAATGCATCACGCGTTTCACGAATGGGGAAGGCGGATGCAACCGCCACACCCCCACTGATCCCGCGTATGAGCAACACGCTTCATAGACGGGACTGAATCGCCCCAGAATGTATTACACCCATGTGATTTATATTTACAAGTCTCAATCGCCTGGATTTTTTCTGTGGCCGATGTCTCTGACATAAGCACCACTTGACCACATTTAACAACCAAATCGGATTTGTCATGTGCGGAAGTTGGATTTACCACAGCGAGGGTGAAATTAGCTTTATTGGGGCGGACAGGCCCAGGGTTCTTAGCTTCTTTTATGCGAACTCCACGGTATGCAATGGGTCAAGACAACCAGTACTCATGCAAAATCAGGATCAATGTGGTTCCAAAGGCAGTCACACCGGCTGGTCAACTCAAGCGCACTAAGGATGCGGGCTTTTTGGTCACGAGAGTGACATGCACGATCGGTATGGCCCACGTAGGCCAAGGTTTGTAGATCACACTGCACATTGCCTGCTCAATGCGGGTTGGATGTGAAGAACCAATTGCCTGGATTGGTATGCACAAAGCATGGTCCAGGGCCCCCCATGAAATCGCACTGAAGGTGGCGGGTGTCAAAAGCTGTCCTCATCCATCTTTGCTGGTCGCTTATCGTCATTTCTGTCCTGCGTGTCCACCAACAGTTGCTTCAGCTCAAGAAAGCAGCATTGAGTCTTCTGTTCCTGCTCAACGGCCGTTTGCTTCACAAATTGCAATACTTCATCTTTGACCTGCGCTGTATGCGACATCACATCTACTTGCATTTTGTCCTGCTTGTTGGACAAATCTTGCAAGCTTCTGAGCAGTTCGTGGATCTTGACCTCATGTTGCTTAAGCTGCTGCTCGACCGGTCCTGGTGGTATTGTGGTAGCTCGAACAGGAGCTTTGGTGCACCAGCGGTTGAAGATTTGGCCCAGGGGTCATGTACCTGCAAGACGTCCTGGCCTTGATTGATCTAGGAGTTGGCGCTCGACTAACAGTGCCTGCAACTGTACGGGCAGGCTGCCTTCGGTTCGGAAGCTCCGTGAGAAGAATCGCCTGATCGTTGATTGCAAACACACCTGTAGGTGGTGGGTCCCACGACAATGGCAGCATTGGAGCCAAGGAATTTTGTGACCTTGATTTTCCATCCCAACTTTTTCGCCCATTCTGCAAGAGCATCCTGCTTCACGCCAACCGGAATGGGTTTGATGCGTGGGCTGTTTCAGCAAGTCTGGGAGAAATAGTATGTTTAATAGGGTCTATTTATTAAGAAGGGGGAAGGAAGTAGAAGACTTGTTGGATACATTGAGTTGCTCAAGTTCATGGTACGCCCATGACGATTGCTGACCGCGTGCGTTCAAACTACAAACCATACGTATTGAACAAATGCAGCGAGCGCTTGAAAGACAGCATTGGTGACCACCACAAAACTTTCTTAATGGCTCCCTTGC